ATATGAATACTGCATAAACCCTGGAACACAGCATTTATATTAGAGTAGAAGCATCACCTTTATATTAGCTGTTGGAGTCCAGTCACTCTGACATGTGTGACTGTAGATCCTGGCTGTGTGCTGGCCAGCTGTCGCCGTCTCACTCCAGCTCGGAGGATCCAAGCGATGCTGCTCCATCTGCACTCTGCTGGCCTGTCTCCTCCTCCTCCTTCAGTCTCTCCTCCTCCTCCTCCTTCCATATGGTTCAGTGAAGCCTGTAGCTCCACCTGCCTGACAGCAGCTACCAGCAGACAACATGCACCTGCTGTCACATCTCCAGGATGTCTGAACACGAGCCCACGAACACGTGAAGAGACCTCATTAAAACAGCAGAGCTGCGATCAAATGTTGCGCTCAGTGCGCATCTCAGTCACAGCTGCGATCAGCTGAGTTATGATCAGATGAAAAAGCACCGCTCATATTTAAAACTGTTTCCTGAACAAATCGACTTTATCTTTGTGTTTAGTGATTCATGATTGGTTTTGCCCTCCAGAGTCAACAGCTCATGTAACAGCCTGTTTATCGTATGTAACATTGTCACCATGACTACCAGTCGTTATCATTGTTAGACAGCTGATAATAACACGGCTGTAGTTCTCATTATTTAAATCATGATATAATCAGAGGTGGGTCGACTATCCAAAAATTGTACTCAAGTAAGAGTAGCATTACTTTAAAATATTATTACTCAAGTAAAAGTGAAAAGTAGTCTCAAAAAAGTTACTCAAGTAAGAGTAAAAAAGTACTTGGAGAAAAGACTACTCAAGGAGCGAGTAACTGTTTGAAATGTCCGATTTATTTTTTAAATAAATGTAATCAGACAAACAAAAATAAATAAATATACAAATTTTAGTATTTTCAAAAGGAATACATGTAAAAACATCAAGAAAATAAGGCACAGATTTGAGTTTTTCACAACATAAAGCTTTTTCACCAATACCTGCAGTAAATAATATAAATATATAAACAGTGCAAACAATTTCCAGTCACAAGATGTGCTGTAAACGTTCATGTTTGCTCCACAGCAGCCTCAGAGAAAACAACGAGGCGTCCTCATTATTTAAATCA